TTCCTTGAACGTTGTGAAGCATCCAGACCCCTGAGGGCATCTGGGAAAGGTTTACTCAGTGTCTCAGAATGAAGACCAAGCAGGGTGAAGCAGCTTTTAGTCTCTATGCTCCCTGTCTGTGGAACAAGCTTCCTGAAGACCTGAGGTCTGCTAACATTGTCAGCTCATTATAATCAGGGCTTAAAACGTTACTGTTTGCTGCAGCTTTTCAATAAATTAAATCAGCAGGAGTTTAGTCATACGCTGCCTCTACAATGTCACTTCTTTTCAGTTAAAAATTTATTTGTTATTTGGGCATTTAGGATTTTTAAAATTATATTTTAAATCAACAATGAATGCGTTTGCAATTCCCACCCCAAAGTTCTGAGGTACCAAAAAAGAAAGGGTTCTTTGTGTACTAAAACTTTTGGTACTGGTACTCGACCCAAAGTCAATGGAAAAGGGAAAGTACCAAATGTACCGTACCTGGTGCAGTGGAAAAGCACCCTGAATGAACTTGCTTTGCTTCGCAATTGGATTCAAAAGCTCCTGACATAAACAGCTCATGTAAATGTGAAAGACCAGGAGGCAGCTGGAGAGAGAAAGAGATGCTCCCCTAGCAGAAGAAAACGAAACACAATAAAACACACTCCACCTCATACAGGGAGAGAGAAGCGTGTGTGTGAACAGACTCACATTGTAAGAATTCTGCTCTGGTCCTCGGCACTAATTCCGGTAGGATGGTGTCTTTGGTAACTAGAAGGAGACAGAGAGAAACAGGGATGTGAGTAAAAGGAATTTACTTGCGAGAGATGGACTTCACTCACTGTGGAGACAGCAGCAGTAGGGGAACAATAACAGGCATTTTAACAAACTGCAAATCATTGTAATTTACACTTAATACAGATTTTTGTTTCTATAATGTAGAAGAAACATGTTTCATGTGATCTGGGTTTGGCAGCCAGTAGAATATGAAGCTCTTTCGCCAGTTATCACAAAGATTCAAACTTACTGAGAACTAACTGACTTGGTCACACAAATGTGAGGCTGACTGTACTGCAAACTCTCTCTGCATGGTCTACATCAGGGGTGGCCAGTCTAACCCGCAAAGTGCCAGTGTGTATGCAGGTCTTTGGGATAACCTTTAGGTCAGCTGATCGACCCCAGGTTTGAGGACTCTTCTGCCAATCAGTCCTCTAATTAGTAATCCAGCAAAAGCCCGCAGACAGCAGCCCTTTCTGGGTAAGATTGGCCACCCTTGGTCTATATTAACATGAACAGACTAGAAAATTTATTAACCTGGGTGATGGATCTCTGCAATTTTCTTTCTGCAAACATTCTCCAGTTGATCTTTCAGTTCAGAAACCACCTTCCTTAAATTCCCAAAATCAGATCTTGGACTGACAGAGATTCTGGGTCCAAATCCAGCTTCAGGGGTAACAGGAAGACCCTGGCACCTCTACAGACACACAGTCTGATTAAACAGCTTCA